CAGTTTTAATTTATTTATAATTTATAATTTATCAACAGCGCTGTGAGTTTGATGAGAATTGTCGAATGTGTAAATTTATAACATTTTGACGAACTTTTTTGAATTTCAATCAAAACCACAGGAGACTTAGAAGTAATTTCTGATTGGCAGCGCGTGCTGCATGCATTTTATAGTTGCAATTGAATTGCACAAGTGGCATTATAAAGTGGCCAGAGGCAATTGGCAAGTGGCAAGTGGCAAGTGCCACGTACCACACAACATGCATAATTAATTACGCACACAATTGCATGCTAATTAACGCTTAATTAATTGCAAATTTATATGGCAAAAGAAACAAAAAAACAATGCAGAGCATATGTTACATATTATCAACTCCGTTACGTTATGTTATTGATTTAAATGAAATTTTATGCAAATTTTTCCAGTTTGCTTTCACGTGCAATGCAGAAATTCGATAAATATTAAAATTTTTAAATGTGGGAAAATTAAAATTTTGTGATTTGTGGGAAAAGCTAAGGATTTGAATATATTATATATATTATATATATATATAAAATATTTAAATAACAGAAATTAGTATAAATTAAAACTTTCTATATAATAATTATAAATTTCACATTAAATAATAAATCAAATCAGAAGAAGGGCAAATAAAAGAGGTTAGCAGAAACTTTCATAAATAAAAACGAAAATTCGTTTAACTCTTTGAAATCTGGCCGAAAACCATTTTATTAGCTCACCTATTAGCCTACTCTCAGGGAAGTCTCGACCATTATCGGCTTACATGCAAACAAGTTAAGCCAAAGTAGGAAAAATCAAAAAGCAATCCGCACAACACGAAATCAATTAGTTCGACTTTCAGACCAAAGTAAATCCGCCAAAAACAGACAATTCCGCGAAAGACTCTCAGCTCTCTCGTTAGTCGCATCAAATCCCCATTGACTGATTAACACATAAACGCAATCAAATGAAGCGTATCAGAAGGGAAAGAGCCGAAATTGAAGTTAAACCGGAGAGAGAGAGATAAGCAGTGGAAGTAATCGCTTATGGCACACACCGAATGCCGCCTGGCAACTCGGCCACATTTATAATTACTTTTATTGAGTGAAAACAAACTTGGAGGCGCCGCCGCCAGCTGCATTCTCATACTTTGCAACATGCGCCCGCGAAATGAGCAAAGTTTCGCCGTGCAAACTTGTCTGAAGCTGTCATGTTTATTTATATAAGAAACTTTGCAGCGATTAGTTGATAGTTAGGCGTAGTTAGGGATCAGTTCTAGAAGCAAACAACCATGAAATCGCATCAAAAACTTTCTATGTTAACTGAGGTACAAATAAAAACCAATTTAAATATGAAGTTGGTTTTATTTTTCATTTTAAAATTGTGGAATTGTAAAAGAAGCTATAATAAAATATATAAAATACATTTTACAAGCTTCTATTATCTCTCAATCTTGACTTTCGATGCAAAAATAATAGCAATGAAAATGGGAATTCAGAGTATAAAAATGTGTAACAAATTAAACAAAAATAACTAAGATAACTCATTTTTCAAGCTGTCAAGAAACTGTTTTCATATTGCGTTTTCCAATTGTGGTTTGAATTACTTTAATTTGCAGAATGCCTGCCCAAGCATGAAGCACTGAAGTGGTCCAATTGATTTATTAAAACACGAGTTGGTCGAATCTGTTGTAGAATTTTACTGAAAAGTTTTCTGTATCAAGGAAAGAAATTTAAAATTTTTTAAATCGTGTGGGAAACAAAAGAGGGCTGAAGAAAAGGGCACGAACACTTGCCAAAGAGCCGGCATGAATGCATGTATGTATATCTTAAAGATCTTTCTTCCTATATGCCGTAAGTCTCACACGTACCAGACGCTGCCCTAAAGAGCCACATCGAAAAGAAAACCCCGCCACATTCGCTTTAAACTCGCTCCTTTAATGAGCGCTTGAGCCATTTTAATGTACTCTATCATTATTATATTTATTACTATGCACATGTTACGGGCATTATATGCTAAGAGGACGCGCGCAGGCAGAAGGCATCCAGAACTGAGGCATAAATAAAACACGTATGAATAACGGCAGAAAGAAATGAAAAAATATGTAGTAAAAAAAGGAAAACGCAGTTGAAATTGGTTGCACAAGACGACGATAGGCGACAATATGCTGTCGATAATGGATAAGGCACCTCGACTTAACAGCCACCCAACCCAGCTGCCCTCTCTACTTGCACCACTTTGTGTCTCCCCATAGCTGTTCTCTTTTAATGCGCCATGCGGCTTTGCTTTTCTTTTCTTTTTTTTTTTTTTGAGTGAATTTCGTGCATGTTTCTTATTAAATGTCGTCGATATTAACGCTCCACAAAAGCTGACGAATTGCATGCAGAGTCAATACTGCGGGGAGCGCATGGCAGGGGCTGCACGTGTGGCCATTGTGTGGCAACACAATGCAACGACTTCGACATGAATTTCCAATATGAATCTATATATAAATATATATAGATATATGCACACAACTCATAAATTTATATGCTCTCAAAGAGAGATGCACAAAAAAAGGCTTTGTCATATACAAATTTAAGCAACGATACGAAATATTTTCGGTCATTTTCAATATGTGCTAAAAGATTGACAAGAAATATATATATATAGAGAGAACGTATATCTGTTCGACTATCTTTCGAGTCCTGGGCTCATTCATCTATCGAACATGTTTCCCTGATGAAATCGTTTCTTTGTAAACATTCTTCAGACGATCTCCAGCCTGAGATTGAACAGCTTCAACCACAAATTAAAGTTTCATTCGCCATTTGAAGTAGTGAACTTTGGCTTAATTTAGAGCATTTGAGCTTCTCTAGATAAATAACCTTACGTTGAGTTCCTTTTGCTATGAACAATGCCATTACATATGCATTTTGTGGGAAGACCCGCATGTGCAGCATCAGTCGAGCTGCATTTCCGAAGGGGGTGTGAGGCAGCTTCTCAAATGGCGAAGAAATCATTATTTATAGGCAACGGGTGGAGCACAGAGAACCACAGATCAACTGCCAGGCAAACAAAGAGAAAGAGAGAGACAGAGAGATGGGGAGATGGGGAGAGTGCCTGGCAGACAGGACATATCGAAATAAATGCAAACTGTTGCCAAGACATACGACCTGCAGAGACCATCAATATAAATTTCAATATGACCAAAAACATATTTGCGCACAAAAATGCTGGCAGACCACACAATCAAGTGTCTATGCGAAACTATAATACATATAGATCAATTAAACAACAGTTAAATGAAAAAGCTTATCCTTAAATCATCATTGAAGAGAATGAACCAAAAGCTTTCATAATGCAATAAAAATTGCAGCAGCAAAAGAGGCAAATGTAACTAAATTCGTATTTATAGAATTTGATCTGTAAAAGCTAATCAAACTATAAGCAAATTATGCAACGTATCATATAACGGAACTTGCAAATCTAAAATTTCTTACAAACATCTAATTGTCTTCTAATATACTCTAACTTCATATTTGCCCAAAAACATCGAGGCAACTGCAAATCCATAGATTGTTAGAGGGAAAACGTTTGGCAGCTACAATTGGTGCCTGTGGCATCCACTGTTTGGCCAAGCTCAAGCGTGCCCCAGAGACGACTCTGTCGCATGCCGGCACAAAAAGCCAAACTTTAACTTTAAACGTAATGACATCAGCTGCTGCCGTCGCCTGTGTGCGTCCTGTTGCTGATGCAGCAGCTACTTTTGTTGCAGTTGTTGTTGTTTGTGGCGCGCTCTTTGTAGCACACGCTCAGGCGCAAGTGGCATGTGGCAAGCGTTGCTGAAGTTGCCAAGTAGCGAACCACAGGGCAGGCCAAAAGCCAGAAAGTGCAACGCAAAAGTTGCAGCCAACCAACTTGCAGCTTGCAAGTTAAGAGACAAAAGCGACACAAAAATTACAGCAACGGCAACAGCGGACGGGCAATGAGTGTTGCATGTTTGTGCCTTGAAAACGGAAGTGCAGATTGGCCCGGCAGCAGCAGCAAGAGACAAGGACTAAAGTGTGGAAATGTCAATTTGCTTTTGCCAGGGCTCAATGGGCAGGGACTAAGGGTAAGGGTAAGGCGATGGGCTTGGCCGTGGTCGTGCCGGAAGATGGCAGCAGCCAAGGCAACAGCAACTGCAGCTGCAACAGCATATATTGATTTTCAATTTGACGCCATAAGATAAAAAGCCAGGAGAAATGTCATTACAGGCAAAGAGCAAGAGGCGAAGGTAATGCGGAAGGGACGGGGTGGTGAGGGACTATCGGTTTGAGAGCCACTGCGCAAATGAACGGCCAAAGCTTAAAAGCAATTTTGCGGCTAATAAATCCGATTTCCGTTTTGTTTCGAAATAAATTGCATTCGAAGTTGTTGTTGTTGTTGTTGTTGTCGCTGCTGTTCCTGCTGCAGCTGTTCTCTTTCAGAAGTTTTTGTGTGCCGGAAATGGCTCTCCGGCGACATCAACGCAACGCAACGCACAGCGGCAGCAGCTGCTTTCAGCCGGATGTGGTAAATTAGCAGCTGCAATGGGCACTTCAAATGCACAACACACACACGCACACACACACATAAACAAGAACAAAGCACATGACCTCATTTAGCAACTGCAGCTAAGTGAGCAACACTCAAGTGTTTACGAGATACCCTGTAAAAAGCGAGCCTAAAAGTAGGCTATGCGCTAAGAGTTCGAACCTGCTCAAAGATGCTGAATTGAATCAGACTAAACTAAAAAGGATTTTCACACAAAACATTATGAGATAAGTCCAAGAGTAAGCCTGACAAATCTTAGCTTATATCTCAACTGCTTACACAGATTTAAAAGTGAGTCTAATTAGCTGTTGTGCATTGGCTGTTCATAGAGAATCAGTAATATATATGTATAAAATCCATGAGAAATATTTGATAGGGTTCATCATTCTTTCAGATTCCTTCTTCAATTGAATTGCATGCCTCTAATACTATCCACAACTCACCTGTACATCAAAATTTTGCTGTTGTTGCTGCTGCTGTTGCTGCAAGAGATTGCCTGGAGATTCCATATGATTGGGTCCGCCCGCCTGTGCGCCCTGGTGATTCAACATGGGTGACTGCCGCAAAGGAGAGAAATTTGTGTATTTGCAATGCTTCTCAAACTGGCAAATGAATGCCATTGCTGATTGCTCACCTGTGCGGCCATTGGCATTCCGCCACCAACTCCGTTCATCATTGGCGGCTGCAATTGACTCATCTGCGCCGCCATCTGCTGATGCGCGTACGCTGCGGCAGCACCGCTGCCGACTCCGCCGCCGCCCACCGAATTGTTGCCACCAAGGGCACCGCCCATGCCGTGTCCCTGGCCATGATCCATGAGCATGTGATTGAAGTGCGGCATCTGTGGGAAGCCATGGTGTGTGGGATCGAGCAGTGTGGGTGGGCGTGGTAATGTCTCTTCTGCGGGCGAGGGCTGACGCGAGCCGGGAGTGCGACTACAATAAAGAAAAAGAATAAATTATGATAAAACAGTTGTACAATCACTTCTGTTACTTGATACATTAACGACAGTTTAGGAGTAATTGCAATCATGTTATCAAATATACTAAAACAGTTCAAAAACAACTGTGGAACTTGTTCTAATAGTTTTACATTTACTGCTCATATCCCTGAACGAATCAACAGTTTGATTTTACTGTGCAACGTTTTAGTTCAAATACTGTTTTACACCCACTGTTAGCACAGACAACCACCTTATGATGGCGCTGTTTATCCATGACACATACCCGACATGTACTAAAATTACACCACATTTAGTACATGGCTCTCAAACTGTACACAACTGTTTCGTAACTGCAACAATTAAAAACGAATTAAACCCAAAGCTAATTGGGTATTTGAAATAAAAATGTAACTCGATTGGAAGATTAATTAAAATATAAATTTACGTTTCTACAGTTCACAAGTCACTGGCAATGGCTCGCCAACTGTGCGGGCAACACACACAAAAGACTTAAGCAGCAAACTTCTTTGAACTAATTGAACGAGCCGTTGGTGGATGGCACGGGCAGGCAGGCGGCATGGCCCTTCTACTCCATGACGTCAGCACGAGGTCTGTCTTCAAACCGCAACTGACAATGGCCATAAATTAAATCAAATAACCAACAATTTATGCAAACTGCTTTCAACGTATGGCGCTTTAAATGCAAATGTAAATAATATATTTATATATATAAATAAATATATATATATATATATATATATATATATATATATAAAACAACAATTGGCAGTAGCTGTATGTGTGTGTGCCTGATATTGCATTTGTTTATTTACAGCTATTTGTGTTTCATTCATAGCTCACGCTCTGCCTATGCCTCTGCAACCCCGTTCAGTTCGTCTGCAACTGTCTGAGGTTGCTTAAGCTGTTGTTGACTCACATGTGTTATCTGCCATCTCGCTCTGCCATATGCAATCGCATCAAATTGGTCATAATTTAGCCGTCGGGTCATTAACACCAAAAACAGCAGCGGCAACTGCAGTACCTCTACAACTGTAATGAGTGTGACTAATATTGATGGCAGTGCACTAAGCCAGTGCTGCTTAAACTGTTAAGTTTTAACTTTTGCACGTGCTAAGAACTTGGTTAAAATTCAAACGAATCTTATGATTTAACATTTTGTTTTTGCATGTTATTAGACTATAATTCGTCGATCGTATTATTCCCAATAGTTGAGTAGAATCATAAAAGTTGTTAAGTCCACATCAATAAATTTACCAAATATTGTGACCAACGAGTTAGCGTGCTGTAGAAGAGACTGTGACAAACAACACACACAAACGGGGTTTATTATAGGAACTTAATTGTTGAGTAACTTTGCCCAAACACAAGTTGCAATACGTTTTTTTTTCTTTGAAAATTTGAGGAGAAGAGAACGTATCTAAATTTCAAAATACACAAAATTTCTGTATTCGTTAATGAAAACTACACAGTAAATTTGAGGTCTACACGATATTACGTTATTCAAGAAACGCTTAAAAAGATATGAGTTATTGAAAAAAATATATAACAAATTATGTTAACGACATGTCTCGATCGCCTCAGCTCGTCATCCTGATCAAGAATATATGATATATAATATAATGCTATATACTTTATTCGGTCTGCCACATCAATTTTTACAATTTCCCACTTTCAGACGGCCCGCCCTTCACCATCAGGTTGTGCTAGGTCAGTTCAGTTGGCAACCGTTTTACCAGTTCGTATCTTCAAAATCTGGTATTCTAATCTAGCTTATGCAATGGGCACAGCAACATGAGAGAAATGTTTCACTTTCAACGGCAGCGAAAAGAAAGTGCGCCAGAAAACTGGATAAAAAGGTCAGCAGAGCAAGTTGGCCAAGTTAGCAGGCAGACAACAGCAACAACAACACAATCTGTTGCTGCTGGCCAAGTCTATGTGGAGAGTAGGTCGCCGGACAGGTGCTCAGGTGTAGTAACTGAAACTGAAACAACAACTCGAAAACTCGAACTCGAGCCCCCAGCCCAAAGTTGGGGCTGTTGCCACAATTTGAAGCCGTGTTTCAAATTTTCGCAACTAAATTTCATTGCGCGGTGCACAAAACGTGAGCAAAGACAAAAGCAACAAAACAACAAAATATGCTACATAAAAAAATTGAAATAAAAAAGAAATAGAAAACGAAAACGAAACCTGAGGCGGCAACAAAAGCTAACATAAACGCAAAACTAATCGAACAAATGATATACAAAAAATACTGCTCGATGTTACGTTTGTTGGTGTCTGAATCATGTTGTTGTTGTCGTAGTTGCTGTTGATTACTTACATCATAACCGTTATTACGTTTGGCATTGAAACACGTTTTGGCTGCGCCGCCGACACCGGCAATGAAATTGCAAAAACAACAACAACAACGATTGAAAGAGAAAACCGGCAAAGCAGAGCGCAGCAAACACTGAGAACAAAAGCAACAAAAGTAATAACAACCTGAAGACACGACCACGACTGGTTTTTATTTTTCGGTCTGGCTAGGCTTTGCAACTGGCCAGAAGACTTTATAAGGCCTTAAGACTCAAGTCTGCAGCAGTGCGCGTTTTGCAAGCGACTATGGAAATATGGTTACAAGGAAAACGAATTCTGCTTGCCCTGACTGACGAGTGAGAGAGCTCTGGTATGAATACTTACACATCAACAGAAAGAGAAAGAGAAATGAAAATGGGCTCGATAGAGAGAAACAGATAATAATAAAGAGAGGGAAAGCAAGGAAAACCGACTTAGAGGCAGATATGAGACAGATTTAAAGTGACACAGAGAGAGAAACATAGAGACAGAAAGATAGAGAGAGATAGATAGATAGATAGATCGACAGAGAGCGAGAGAGAGAGAGAGAGAGAGAGAGAGAGAGAGAGAGAGAGAGAGAGTAGAGAGAGAGAGAAATAGAGAGAGAAAGAATAGAGAGAGAGAGAGAAATAGCGAGAGCTAGATATAGTAGCCGATAGAGTAGCGCGAGATATAGAGATAGATAGATAGAGTATGACGAGCGAGGACGCGAGCTCGTAGAAGATCGGAGATAGATCTCGCGCGTATCGCGAAAGCTAGCGCGCGATAGAGCTATTAGAGCGCGCCCGCGCGCGCCTCGAGCGAGCTAGCGCGCTCGCGCGCTCCCCGCCCGCTCGCGCTTCGCGTGAGAGAGAGAGTGAGATAGAAATGTAAAAAGGGAACGCGAAAAATAGAAAGAGATATAGAAAGGGAGGGATACAGACTCTAGAGAAACAGATACACAGAGACAAACGCAGATACAGATATACAAAGATAGAGAATGAGAGAGAGAGAGGGAGAAACATATGTATATAGAGATACAGATATACAAATATAGAAAGAAAAGGCAAGACAGATATAAAGAGACATACAAAGGCAGACAGAGGGAAATAGAAGGAAAGGATGAAGACACAGAGTAGAAGGCAATGAGATAGAGATTCAATTCAAGCTACAGAGATAGGGAGCAAAATATACAGAGATCAATAGGGAAGCTATTGATACGAAAGGCAAATCAGAAAAAGGGGAAGATAGATAGATAACGATAAGAAAGATAATCAGAAATATATATATATTTATTTAGATCCAAATCTTACTTTTAAATATTGTTTTTGATTCAGCGTTCTTAAATCAAATTGTAAACGGCACTAGGGTCTTAAAACACAAACAAACATAGAGGAGTCAAAGAGTTCGACTTTTCAAGCCATTTTATTCCACAATAAACAACTCCAACAGTCCCGGATTGCAGTTCATTTAGAAAGCGTTTCGACAGACCCAACCTCTAGATATATATAAAAAAAAAGCACTTCAAAAAAACTGAATCATCTTCCGATATGCGAGTGGCACAACAAGAGGACAGACATACGCAGAAGACGAGGAAAATAATTACAGCAAAAGCGATAAAAATTCAGCAGCAACAGAAAAAAATGTGGGCCAAGTGGGCAGTGTTTGACAAAGTGGGTGTTTTACCGTTGACTCAACAAAACTTAACTGACAATTGGCGAAAAATGTCAGCTCTGACGAAACTATAATAAAATATCTATTGCTGAGACTGTGGACCAAGTTGGCAATTTATTGATATTTCTTTATGTCAAGTGCGAATGCATTTAGCTTAAGTAAGAATTGAAGCACGAGAAAGGGGAAAAAATGTGAGAATTGTAATAAAAAAATGCTTAAGTTCATTACAATTCAGAACTGAAAGAGTTGAGAATTAAGTTCTAATTAATGAATATTTATAAAGAAATATTTTTAAGTCTTTCTTTAGTTCGCTCTCTTCAGCTTTTCAGTCAGAATCAAATGATATATAGCTGCATATAGTAGCAAATATTACGTTACTCTAGAATTTTTTGTTGTCTATATTTTCTCAGCCTCAATTCAGAGTTAGCTCCACTTGCAGTGTGCCTCTCGAGAGCTCCCAGTTGCCCCCGCTGGCACGCAATACAAGAACGTGTCTTGCTGTGGACCTTGAGGAAACCAGTTTCTAGCCGTGGCATAGGCCCACAGCATAGCCATTCTAATGTCAATGCCATTGGCCAGACTTGAACTAGACACTGAGACAGTCAGACTGGCAGACAGAGAGACAGACAGACAGTAGAAAAGTTGATCAGTCTGATCTGCTACTCACTTGAATCCCTTGTCATCATCAATGCCATTGACGACTCCATTTGTGTTTGTGACTTGGTCGTCCTTCTTTAACCCGTTTGTGTCAAACGGAGAATTTGCCTTTTCCTTATCATCGTGTGACTGCAATAAACGTAGCACAGTAGACATTAAACAGTTATATCCATCAGCTGTGTGCGCTTACAAGTTACCTTATCATTATCGTCAAACTTCAAGTTGCGCATTCGCGGCTCCAAACTCGACAAGGGACTCTCCTTGTTGGTGGGTGAGCCGCCCAGAACATATTCAACCATCTTAACGCAAGTCGAATCGCGGGGGCTATTCAGAGAGATAAAGAAGATATTCGTTAGATCAAAGCTTGGATGTATGTAGATCTTGTGTATCCACGCATTATTAGCATTAGCTCATAGATATAGATAAACTCACCTCAAAATGCCCGCATTGCCGCTGTTTGAGTTATCGGAAGCACCGCCATGTGGATAGCCACGTGGCCTGGGAGGTGCCAATATATTCTCGCCTTGTGTGGACCATGTGTGATCCTTCCACACGGATGAGTGATCCCCGACGCCAGGAATCTGCAGGGGATTAAGTGGACCGCCTGGTGTAGCGCCACCCTTGCCATCCGATTTCTCCCACAGTTTCTTGGCAGTCGATGTGGTTATCTGCATTACAGAAAGACAGAGAGAGAGAGGGAGTGAGTAAGGTAAATGGCAAACCGCAAAATCCATGACCAAGTTTGTCCTGGCAGGAGAGCAGCAAAGTTTTTCATTTGGCCGTTGCAATTGAATTATTAACAACATCAATAATTTACCGCACCAGCCCCCACACACAGCCTGCCCCCATTGCAAAGGCAGCCAGTTTCCTGTTAGAGCATGTCCTTTGCTTCCGCAGCAACTGCTAGCAAAGCTGATAAGTTTTTCTCGGCTTTTCCAGCTAATTCCACACTGAATCCTAGTTACGTCCATCACTGCAAAGTTTTTATAATCCTCAACTTTAATGCAGACACCACCCACCCACACCGCATGCATCCTGACAATGTCCGCCCCTTGGACATCCTGCTGCAAAATCGCATTGCTAATGAAATCAAATTAGCTGCCGTTGGGCTTTTAATGAAAACTACGTGACAATTGCATGACTTTTGAATCGCAGTTGATTACGTAACTATTTGCAGAGCAGCTAAACTCTAGAGTCCCTTGAAAATATGAATTGAAATAGGCTTCAAAATAGCGCAAGAACAAGTTTCCCTAGTTCAAAGACTTCTACTTGATATTTGATATGGAAAGCCCTTATTGAAGCATTCAATTTTAAATTTCTTTGTTTTTATGTTACGTTACGTAGCATTATGTTACAATACGTTAGGATTACGTTACGTTAAGCGAAAGAATTAATTTACTTTATTTTATTTAAAAATTTAAAATATTTTTGTTACAAAAACAAGAAAAGTTTTGATAATTTTTAGCTACGTAACGCTTAACGTAATTAAAGTTATGTGATACTCCTTATCTGTAATACTATCGTTTGCTTACGTAACTCTAGAACTTCTTTATAACCTAAAAAATGCATTGAGCAATGCTCAATCTATATTCACATAGATCTTAAGGGTTAAGAACATATAGTTATGTTCTCGTAAGTTAAGTATTGATGCCCAGTAATTAACGTACTGCAGCTACGTAACGTTTATATAACAGCAAACGTTTATCTTCATTCTTGCACAGTTCCACAGTTAGAGCGTTTGGGCCACTGACCTCCTCCAAGTGGAGAACACAGGACGACATTTGCTATAGAGATATAAATCATATGGAGGGGGCCAAGCGTTTGGAGTGTGTCAGCGTCGAGGCGAGGGAAGAGTGAGAGGGGGCAGTGAATCAGAAGCACATCAAAGACAGACATCAGACAGCAGAAAGCAGACAACAGACAGCAGACAGCAGTTAGTTACATTGCTCAGCTGTAAATCAAGCGACAGCTTATGAGAAGCTTTGCACGGCGGCTTTGCCCGTTGACAAACTGGCAACACTGCAAATGGACAGTGCGATTGAGAGGGCCATACCAATAGAGGAGGACAGAGAGCGAGCAAGACAGTTGACGGGTTGCTTCATCAGTCAAGCAGCTGCCGCAACTCAAAGCCATTTATAGCAACATAGTCGCTCGACTGCAACAATATTTCTCGCAGTGCAACTATAAGAACTAAGTGACGGACAGGTTGAGGAGATACGGAGAAAGAGAGAGTTCTTTGGCGATAAGCATGGAACTGACTTTATAACCTCGTACTTTTGCGCTCATATTAAAATCATACCGATGCACGACCATCCACACAATATGTTGGTGCCACCGAGCTCTAACAGGGTATCTGGCACACGCGTTGCAGGCTCATGAAAACGTTCCTAATTAACTTACATCCCATACGAGTTTTTATTATTGTTTCAATTTATTTGTTTCGCTTTTTTCTTTGTTAATTCCGTTCCCAAGGCATTTGCGTTGTCATAATGCGTCAACGCGACACGCGTGGCACGTGCCGCAGTTGACAGTGTTTTTATGCCACACATATGGCCACATCATTTTAAATATTTAATAAGCCCATCACGCCCATGCTTGCTGGCGAGGCAACAGTTGAGCCGCGCGTCTCATAAATACTGCTGCATGAGGCAAGGACGCAGCACCGCAACCCGCAACCCGCCCTCAATATAGCCGCATCAAGAGCAATTGCAGCAGCCGCGCATAAAACAAAGCCTTCAATACAAAAATTACTTGTTCAAATTGAAATCGAATCGTTTAAGAGAGATTTAATGAAATAAAATTGCATTTTAATAAATATATTTAATAAGGCCCGTATTAGATAAGGAAATCATCGATATAAGTGTCTAGCATTCGAGTCAAGACTGTAAAATTGAAACAGATTCATTTCAGCCTTTCATTCTTTAATTCTCTCATTTCAGATTTGCTTTTTCTTAAACTGTGAGACAAGTTGTCTTCCATTTTCTTAGTTTACACGCCATCTCTGTGGCTAAATTAGTTTTCCATTATTTATTCTTGCACTTGGGCGCTATGCACTCGAAATATATTTAACCCTATTCAATTTCACATCAAATGATATCTTATGCCAATGCAAACTATTTCAGGGTTGCTGGAAAACTTTTTACCTTTCTAAGTGGGCAATGACAACCTTGCGCCATAAATTTTCAACAGTCCCAAACCCAAAAGTGAAAAAGTGACAAAAGAAAAACTCTTCCAACACCAACACAAATACAAACCTAAAAACACACAAGCAAAGCGCTGAAATTGTTTGTTAGACAATATTTGCTCAGTCCAAAACTAAAGCTCAAGCTATGCAAAAACGGCCCAAAGGTAAATAAGTCGCATTGGTAACGAATACGCGATACCCTGCAAGGAAATACAGTTAACGCTTGGCTCAAATGTGTGAAAGCGTCAACAAACACGACAAATTGTTGTTGCCAACTGGGTTCCTCGCACAAAAAAAAAAAAAACAGAAATAAACAAAAACAGCAAAGGTGTTAATAAACAATAACAGCAACAAAAAGAACGAAAATGTAAACTAGTTTAACGCAATTTCATAATATTAATAAGTAATAAAAACAACGTTTAGCAGCCAAATGCGCAATGTGGGTCAATTTCAAAGATAACTGTCTCACACCCACGCGAATATTGAATGAAAACTGAATATTTTAAACAAAAAAAATATAGAAAAAAATTTCAAGTTTTTTTTGTTGAAGAAATAGAACAATAAATAAAACTGCGGCGCTTGGCGAAAAACAAATAAATGAAAAGAAAGTGAAGCGATCACAAAATGCAGCAAAAACGAAAACAGAAGAGAATTGTTATCAAAAGCTATCAACTACGAAATACCCTGTTTTTTTTTTTTGCTAAAAGCTCACAGCTTTAAAATACTCTGGCTTTGAATCCCTCAGTAACTCTTTTGAGCAGCAAGAAAACAAAACAAAAATTAATGCAAAAAAGTTTTCAACTACGCCATACTCTGTTTTCATTGGAAATTAAGGAATTCAAAATCATTTGCCTACAATTAATGTTCTTGGTATGGGGTTTTAGCTTCTATAGCAGATCGTCTTCTTACAAAATACTGTTTTCTCATCGAAAAACAGGGTATAATTCAGAGAAAAAGCTATTTTAGCATTTTTGGCGCCTTTCATTCAGCCCATCGGCACGCAAAGCAAAAACAAAAATAAAATCTTTGCATAAATATGACGAAAAACAAATTTTAAACTGAATAAGCAGAGGAAAAAATGATAAATAAAAAAACAACAACAAGTTGAAAGACGAATGAAAATGAGTCAACAAATTGTGGGAAGAAAAATCGGAATAGCACCGCCCACCCCTCTATCGCTAAGCTGCTCGCCTGCTCGACTAAACAGTTGAGGGGAAAAACGGCTCAAAAGAATTACAGCAAAAAATAAAACGAAAATCGTTCATTAACTTGTCCTTGACTGTGAAGAGACAACAACAACAGCATCAGCAGCAGCAAAGAGAGCAAATATATGCGAGAGCGAGAAAAAGGAAGTGAGTGAGTGTGTGTGGGAGCGAGAACGAACTGCTAACCGGCCCCAAAAACATGCGTGAGAGACAAAAAGAAAACAAAACGACGATAAAGAACGCGCACAAAGCTAACGTCAAGAACAAGCGGCGAACAACAAAAAAGGCGAAAACACACAGCAAAGGAACGCAAAATGAGCGCCAGCCAAAGAGAATGACAGAAAGAGAGAGAGAGAGAGACGGCAAGCGAGAGAGCAAGTATAACAAACAAGCCATTGGGCAGAGGGGGTGGACTAGGCTTGATAGCAACTACGGCAACAACAACAACAACGAGAGCACACTATTTAAGAAGAAAAACCAGTCGATAATAAAAGCAGAAAACATTTTTTTTTGGGAATTTAATAATTTGTTGTTGCTTTGAAGCAGGTTTTGTGTTGGAGTTGCTTGAAAATGTTTTACAATAAATATAAAAAATATTATAAAAATAAGTGAAAAGAAAAACATACAAAAATAATATGTATAAAATAGTAGATATGTAAAGAAATATATAGAAGAATTCAATATATATTGACTTTAGACACTTATAAAACAAAATTATGGTTTTTTTTTTAATATGTATAATTATGATTTTGTTTTTGGGTATATTTAAAAATTCTACTAATTCAGCTTTTATGTTCAGCCTTTCAGTTAATGAGCCTTGCTCACTGCCATGAAGCCAGGCTAGCAAAACCTAATGAGACCTTTAAATCGCACAACCTCTGAAAATCAAAAGCCTCGGCCAAGCTTTAATTGCGTTTGGTTAATGAACACAGAAAAAACAGAGCTAAGAAGAATGCAGCGCAGAATTAAAGAGGCGACACAACAACGAATTAATGTCTAACAACTATGCAAACACTGCACTTGACATATATTTGCAAAAACACATACAAACAAACATCATACATATATGTGCAAATAAAACAATATAATCATATGGAAACAAAGCTGACCAAAAAACATTAAAATGTGGCCATATTTTGTGCACGCAAAGCTGTTGACTTTGAATTGTTTTTGGCAGTGTAAAAAATTATATACAGCCCGAACAATGAAACACTAGTAACAGCTACGAGATACCCTCTAAAGCACTTAAAGCCTTGATACACTAAATCCTAGATGTTTT